TCAGCCTCCGACCAGGGCTGGCCTTTTGGAAGGCGTCTTAAACAGCCAGACCAGGGAGACCACCATGACTGAGAACTCTACATCTACTCCTGCGGCTAAGCCTAAGCGGTCTAAGGCCTCCAAGAAGTCCACAGACCACCCCAAGTATTCAGACATGATCGTGGCTGCCATCCAGGCGGAGAAGAACCGCGCTGGCTCCTCGCGCCAATCTATCCAGAAGTATATCAAGAGTCACTACAAGGTGGGTGAGAACGCCGACTCGCAGATCAAGTTGTCCATCAAGCGTCTGGTCACCACTGGTGTCCTCAAGCAGACCAAAGGGGTGGGTGCCTCGGGGTCGTTCCGGCTGGCCAAGAGTGATGAGCCCAAGAAGTCTGTGGCCTTCAAGAAGACCAAGAAGGAAGTGAAGAAGGTGGCCACGCCAAAGAAGGCAGCCAAGCCCAAGAAGGCTGCAGCTTCCAAGGCCCCAAGCAAGAAACCCAAAGCCACCCCAGTCAAGAAGGCCAAGAAGAAGCCGGCTGCCACGCCCAAGAAAGCCAAAAAACCCAAGACTGTCAAAGCCAAGCCAGTCAAAGTATCCAAGCCCAAGAAGGCCAAATCGGTGAAGCCCAAAGCAAAGTCCAGTGCCAAGAGGGCCGGCAAGAAGAAGTGACAATGAAGTCTTTTCTTGTGGACACTCCTGTCTATTTTCTGTAAATAGTTTTCTTTTTTTCCCCCCTCTTAATTCTCATCTGCAGTCCCGTTTATTCTGACTTTAAGGGACAGGATTTGGATTCCTCAGAAATTACCGAATAATTCGTTTTTCCTTAACCTTAAGGACAGCAACAGCATCTCATCTCTGTAATGATGGGAATGTACTTATACTTTGTTTTGTTATTAATCTACTTATGGGGCTAGGGATTTTGGTGGGCTTGTGTGTTTTGTTTTGTCCAATCATTTGTTTTTTTATGAAGGTACATGGGGGAGGAGAGAACAGGCAAGGCAGTTTGTTCTGGCTAGAGGAGAGTGAGACCAGGAATTGTGAAGTAGTAGGAATATCTTTAAAGCCAGAGAGCTTTCTTTAAATTGGACACCCCTCTGGGTTTCAGAACCTTTGGCGAGAAGAGAGAGTTGGCAGCAGCTATCCTGAAAAAGGGAGGTAGAAGAAAAAAAGCAAGGTCTCCTGGGCGGACTTCCATCTCCCAGTTGGTGAGCAGTTGGGGGGGGGCGTCCAAACCCAGTTTCCTTCTCACTTCTGTTGGTCTGCCCTTGTGGCCTATTGTCTTGGGGAAGGGGCTGGGGCAGTGGAGGCAAAGTGACAGCTGGTTAGAAGCAGCTTCTCCCACTCAGCTAGGTACTGGCCATTGGGGGCTCTTTGTGGCTTGGGCAAAGTCTTGTTAACCGGGAATGGAAACTTTGGGGGAAGAGTGGGGAATCAGTCAGCCAAGTGCCTCAGTATGCCCTGTTGAAACTTGGGTTTTTCCACACACTTGACGGATTGTGTTCCAGGAAGATTTCCTTTAGTTTTTTTGCTACTCCCATAGAAGAAACGGGTGGCTTTGCTTGGTCTGGTGAGGCTCCAGTCCCACCAGTAGCCACTTAAAAACCTCCTTGACCCCTTTTTACTTCTGAATCTTTTATAAGTAGTTGTAGCTGGGGAAGGGAGTGGACAGCAAGATACTGCAGTCGATTTTGAATTTGCTAAGTAGTTTTACTGAGCTAGTCTGTGAGTGTATGCACTCACATATATGTAATATATATGCATATCTAGGGCTAGTACTTAACGTTTCACGCCCAGGAGCTGTGAGAAAAAACCTGTACAGT